CGCAGCGGTACCCGGGGTACTCGTAGGTCTCCATGCAGTCCACGCCGCTGAAGCAGGGGTTGGGGTTGCAGCGGGACCGGTGCTCGTGGAAGCCTAAGGAGGGCCAAGGAGGGGGTGAGGCAGGGCGGCCCTTTGCCCCCCGAGGTGGGAGCGGAGCCTCGCCAGCACTCACCGCAGACCTGGCACTCCATGATGGTGTTGCGGATCAGAGACATCTCCTTCACCTGCGAGGCAGCAGAGCATGGAGCGTCACGGGGATGCAGCACACCGGCTGGCACCACGCTCGGGGCACATCCAGCCCAGGGAGAGCTGATAGCACCCCACCGTCTCACCTGGTCCCGAATGTCTTCCCGCAGCTCGGTCAGGATCCGGTTGAAGAGGGTCAGCTGCGTGACCAGCGCCTTGGTCTGTTCACCTGCCAGGACCAGAGAGACAAGGTCAGCCCTGGGACAGATGCAGCCTCCTGGGGCTGTGGGCTGGGACTGCTCTGCCCCCCAGCACTGAACTGGGAGGATGAGACAGCCAACAGCCCATCCTCCCCCTCCTCCCTGGCCCACATAGGACCCCTTCTCCCTGGAGCACATCCCACACCCTCTGATCCACCCCGTCCCGGGGCCCTGCAGGCACTTGGGGCACAGGGACAGGCTGCGGAGGGTTTTCTACCTCCAGGGAGCCCCAAACACTGCCATCGCCTTCACACCAGAGAAAAGGGGGAGCAGAGAAGGGACTTACCCAGGATGGAGGCCAGCACGCTCGTCACTGCAAGGAGAGAGACGTTACTGAATGCTGCCCTCAGAGCCCAGCAGCGTCACCTTGCCTGGCTGCTCCTGGCCAGCGTGCACAGAGCACAGGAGCTCCCACCTGTGTGGGGACACTCGGACCGGGAGCGGCAGGGTGCTGTCACCCCCCACCTGCATGTGTCACAGCACGTAGCATGCACCGGTGACCCCGTCAGCCCTCCACGCTGTCCCTGCTCGGTGCAGGGCGCGGCCGTGCCGTTACCTGCACTGTGGATGGACTCGTCTCCTTGGAAAGGGCACTCGCTCAGGGCCCCGACGCGGCTCATGGACCCTCCCAGGATCAGCTTCATTGACTCCACGAACCCCTGATATACACGGGGAGATGCCATCAGCCGTGGGGAGCTCTGTCTGTCCCCAAGGGTGCAGGGGGGGTGTCCTGGCACTCACCTGCATCCTCTGGTAGGCCTTCTGCCCCGTGCGCACCTCGATGGACTCCACCTCGGCTAAGGGGATCTCCGACAGCTCGGGCAGCCCCACGCTGGAGTCCATCTGCTTGCAGTCGACGTAGAGCTCCACGCTCAGCATGTCCCCGCGCAGCCCGCTCAGGCGCACGATGATGCTGTGGCTCTGCCCGTCCGCCACATGCGCGTGCTGCAGGTTGACCGAGTGCAACTTGTTGTCTTCCCGCAGGTAACGCACCAGGACTGCGGAGGAGCGGGGAGGGGCTGTCAGCTCTTCCCCCACCACCCCCTCCAGCGCTGGCAGCCCCTTGGGACCAGCGCGGGCCCCTCGGGTGACAGAGACTCAGTCCCCATTTCTCTGCGAGCATCAGGGCCCCCACATCCCCGCGCAACAGGCGCCCACCTTTGTTGATCTTCCCCACTACGGAGACCTCCAGCCACCTCGTGTTGTCCTTCTTGGAGTAGAGGCCGAAGAGGGTCCCCCCCTGCTTGGGGGGCAGGCGGAAGGTGGAGAGGAGGTAAACGTCGTTAACGGTCAGGAGCTCCATCCGGATCTTGTGCGTTATGCTGGCCATCTGCCGGGCCTCGCTCACCATCAGCAGGTCAATGACTGCGGGGGCCAAGCACCGGGGTCACATCCTGACCGGCCGCCCCAGCTCCGGCATTAGGAGCGCGGAGAGGCCCGGGGCGGGGCGAGCCCG